GGTGACAACCATGACGGTTGTCGGGGGCCTTGGCGGGGCACGGCAACATGGGCCTCATTTTAGCAGCGGAACTGCCATTGGTGCAGTTGCACCGGGGTCCGCACGCTGATGGGGCCCATCAGGTGACCCAAGCATTTAGGGCCACCCAATGGGCCCTATATCTTCAGGGGCCCGGTCAGTGCTGTAGCCGTGTAATAGCGTGACCGGGACCCCTTCGCTCGCTCCGCGCGGGAGAAAGGAGACAAAGCCAGGCCGTGAGGAGGGGAGAGCCTGAGCCCACACTGTGACGAAATGCCCTTAGCCACTTGGTCCTGGAGAGGCCTGCTTGGCAGCCTCTTGCCCTGTGATTATGGCCCTGGGAAGTATTGCCATTTAAAAACACTGGGGGACGTACAGCGTCAGCGGGGCGAGGGACTCCTCAGTGAGGAGCAGCGATTGCAGACGTGACAGGCACTGCGGATGCCCCTCCTGGGAGAGCAGCCCCTGGAGGAGTGGATAAAGGAACTCAAGCACCGGACATGGCAGGAGCTGTGGCTGGAGGATGCCTACCAGGCGCTCTGGTGGTATACAGCTCGGCGCACACCCTGGACGGCGAGCAGGACAACCCGGAGGGAGATGGTTTTCATGGCCCTGGCTTGCTGTGGGAGGCTTTCACAGAAACTGAATTCGGAAGCCCTGCAGAGACCCGATTCCGTGACATCTATGACTTCAGGGAGAGTATGCAAGATTGGGCTGACACCCACGAGGTGAGCCCAGACTTGGCACACCTAGCATCGATAGAGTGGGAGCTGGAACAGGACTACCGACATCTGCTCCTCTCAATTGAGGAGACACGGCAGGAGAACGCAGTGGCAGATCCAGGTATGGAGCCCTTCAGTTGGGAGGATATGGTACAGGTTTACTGGGAGAACCCCCAGCCGGCAGGTGGAGATGGGACCGAGGTCTCTCCACTGACCCTATAGGGGCGCTGGGCCCAGATCCCTAGCAGCAGTGTACCTTGCAGGGAGAGGAGAGCATTGTCCCCCTTCCCCAGCGGCAGTGTACCTTGCAGGGAAAGGAGACAACCGGTCTCTCTCCCCAGCAGCAGTATGCATCTCAGGGGGCCAAAGCAGCAGTGTGTCCTACAGGGAGCAGAGACAATTGGTCTCACTCCCCAGCAGCAGGACAATTTATTGGGAGTAGAGACAGTCGGTCTCCCTCTCCAGCGGCAGCTTGCCCTACAAAGTGGAGACACTAAGCTCCCAGACGGTGCAGATGGGACCGTAGTCTCTGTACCTGACCTACAGGGGTGCTGGACGGCCTGTCTAGATCCCCAGCTACCCTCTCAGGAGGAGGTAAGCATTGTCTCCCCTGCCCAGCCAAGTTGCATCCAGGCTACACCAGTGGAAGAGCTGCCCTCCCCTTTCCCAGAGCCTGCTTCCCTACAGGCTACCCCAGCAGAAGCGCTGGCATCAGGGCAGAGCACCGCTGGCCTCTGCCCTACCCGTCCCTTTGTTACAGGGCAGGACTGCGTACCAGGCTACCCAGCTGGAGCGCTGGCACCAGGGCAGAATACCACTGATCTCTGCCCGCAAAGCAACCCAGTGACCAGGAGAACCAGATCCATCAGGTGCAGTAACCAGTTATTGTGGGTGGGCTACTCTACTGATTGTGGGTGGGTTGCTTGACTAACCAAGGCACTGACCGACAGAAGGTCAGATACCTTGTTAGTCTTCCCGGGAAAGGGGAGATGTGTGACGAAGTGCCCTTCGCCACTTGGTCCTGGAGAGGCCTGCTTGCCAGCCTCTTGCCTTGTGATTATGGCCCTGGGAAGTATTGCCATTTTAAAAACACTATTTGGACTTATTGGAGTTTAAAAGATTGTTCTGGCCCTGTGACGAAGTGCCCTTCGCCACTCGTGCCTGGAGAGGACTGCTTGCCCGCCTCTTGCCCTGTGACTATGGCCCCTGGGATGTATTGCCCTTTAAAGACATGATTTGGGCCTAATGGATTTGTGTTGTGCTGCTGCTGGCCCTTTAAGAACCATCTGGGGACATACTGTGGAGTTACTGGGTGGCCACCATTTCCTGTATCAGAAGCACATGGTGAGAACAATGGATGGCGGCCATTTTAACTCACAGACACTGTTTGGACTTTTCAACACGGTGCCATCTCGCCAGTATTTGGTGCACAGAGACATCGTGCAGTGGTTTTGGACTATACAGCAGGGGACACATTATACAGTGATTGTTTTTCATTTAGCCTGTATATGTTCTGCAGAATCTGCATTAAACTGTATTTTCCAAAGTACTGAACGGATCTGGGTGAATTTTGGATATGTGGTTCACCCAGATCCCCTGGTTCCAAGGATATACTTTTTATGGGGTTATTGCATGTTTTGGGGTCCCTGTGATGTATATTTTAGAAGTTATGAATGCTGTAAAAATTGTAATGTTTCTGGCCAGCAGATAATTGAGCTTTGTGTATTGTAGAAACTCAATTATCTAGCCTGGCCCAGAGGGGAGTTTTGTGTTGCATAAATTGTGAGTTCTGTGTGCCAGTAAATCAGTCTTGTTCCAGCATTAAGCCTTGGCTCATGTTTGGGGGATTGGAGAAATACACTCTGGGGATTGCTATAATCACTATACTCCCCAGGGTATGATCACTAAGTTCTGCTAAGAGCTTGTTCCTGCTCTCTGGGGAAAGAGAGGTTCACCCACTGGAAGCTGGATCCTGGCCTTGGGTCCAGGGTGGGTGGAGACAGCAGAGACCCCAGCGCAGTTGCATCGCTGGAAGTGGGGTCTGCAGTGCTGATGGTGACGGTTGGAGTGCTTGGAGTCCTCGGCAAGCGCTAGGAGCATCGATTGGCGGAGGTACTCAGTTGGAGTGCCAGCGGTCCGTCACAGGCCCTTTAAATGAAACTGGCTCCTCAACCTCTCATCAGCCTGTGCTAAACTTTTTAACCCCATGGCGATTTTATTCTGTTTGTCGGATCTGAGTGCTGTTCGTATATATTGAGCGTTCAGATCCAAGCTACCTGGGGATAGGTTGAATGTGGGGGTTCTGTTCAGTATAATCGGAATTATGTATTTTTACTGTTGTTGTAAATAGAGATATTTTCTGGATGCTCCTAGTGCTTCCCGAGGGCTCCAAGCACTTCTCCAGACACCATAAGCACTGCAGACCGAACCTTTCTTCCTGCAGAGAGCAACGCTGGAACAAGCTCTTAAAAGAACTTAGTGATTATAGCTAGGGGAGTATGTAGAGTATAGCAATCCCCCAGTGTAGATGCAGCTGTATCCCCCAATCATGAGACGAGGCTCTATGTTGAGGGGAAAAAAGACAGAGCTGTGGTTTTTTGGTTTCTTATAAACACATTTTTACACAATGTTACCACCCACATGGTTTTGTAGAATAGCCAAACACGTACAAAACAGGTAAACACTCCCATTCGTTCCCACAAAATCCTCCCCTCTTAGATCTTAGATCTTTGAGTTCAGCTAATGAAAAATGGGGGCAAAAACAAGTGTTGCATTTACAATTTTGTTCAGTGTATATACATTGTATACTATATACATTATTTAATTAATGTACATTACACCCCATGTACAGTATATATATACATTATATGCCACGTACACTAACTATATACATTATATGCCATGTACAGCAACGCTATCAATGTTTTTATGGTCCAAGTGAATTATAGCATATTTTGTGTCATGTATTCCGTTCTTTATATATGGGACTCTCTGATTATTGAATATAAACGTTTATATTAGTAATCATGTTATTCTGCTTAGAATCGGCGCTGGAAGTGGAATGATGGATCCATGTACAATTATCGTGCCTGGCTCTCAGGTCAGCCAGACAACCATAACTCAGCCGAGTACTGTGGCGAATTGTCCTGCATAGACAGTAAGTGAGAGCTCTATATTGCACTATACCTCCCATAAAAAGTTATATCTAAGGATCTCGCCACAAAAGGATAGAAAAAATGCAGGCAGGCTTAGGATGTCTAACAAATCCCAGTCTAACTACATTACCTGGAAATACTATATAGCAATGTAGCGTGAAGGAATATTAACTAGGGAATATATCCAATAGAAACAATCTAGTAAAAAATATATAGAATAAATATAACATCAATACTAGTAATCCTATGCTCTCTAAAGGGAATGCACATAGGTCACAGCAAAGACCAGGCAATATGTCATATAAATTGATACAGAACCTTTACTCCTATATGACAGCTTTAATGAAGTACATATGCTAAATAGGAAAAGGTATACGTATATCTATCTAGTTGCCAGTGTCTATCTTCCTGAGTGCAAAAGCCCACAGATATCCTGTATCCATATATATATATTGTAAAAAACCATGGAATAAATGTCTGCTGATCGTATATACAAACGCAAAAATAGTTTGTATTGAATCAAGCCATATGTGGAAAGAGATCTTACAAAGCAGCAGACCTTACCAATGTACAGGAAATAAAAGTCTAGAGTAGTCAAATATGGAGAGAGACTTAAATGTAGGATAGAAAAGAAGGAGTTTGTAGAAACAAATGGTCAGTCAAAAGTAAACTGCCATCAGGGCCGGCGCGTCCATAAGGCGGCACAGGCGGCCGCCTTAGGGCGCACCGGCTCTGGGGGCGCAAAATTCCAGTGACCGGCAGGAGGGAAGTGCTCCCTCCTGCCAGGTCACCTCCTGGATCCCCGGCGCGGCGTGCGGCTTATTTGGATGCCGAGGGAGCTCTGATCTCTCTGATGTGCTCCCTCGCAGGCTGTTTACTGATGACGTCATATTCCGGCTCCCGCGGCAGCAGTAAGCAGCCTGCGAGGGAGCAGATCAGAGAGATCAGAGCTCCCTCGGCATCCAATTCAGCCGCACGCCTCCCAGCAGCCCCACTGGACCACCAATGAGAGACCCACGCCAGCTCTCCAGGTAGGGAGGCTGGGTGGGAAATGTAAATTTAATTTAGATTATTAATGTGTGTGTGTGTGTGCATGTGAGTATGTGTGTCTGTGAGTTTGTATGGTTCTGTCAGTGTGTGTGAGTGAGTGTGTCTGTCTGTCAGTGTGTGAGTATGTGTGTCTGTGAGTTTGTATGGTTCTGTCAGTGTGTGTGAGTGAGTGTGTCTGTCTGTCAGTGTGTGAGTATGTGTGTCTGTCAGTGTGTGTGTGAGTATGTGTGTCTGTCAGTGTGTGTGAGTGAGTGTGTCTGTCAGTGTGTGTGAGTGAGTGTGTCTGTCAGTGTGTGTGTATGTGTGTCTGTCAGTGTGTGTG